AATAAATAAATAATAAAAATAAATGGCACTTAAATTTTCCTCTGAATTTATATATTTTATTTTTATATACTATTGGTACTTTGGTATATAGCCGGCGAGTTGAAGAGTTTGCGTTTGGGAAGAAGTTTGCATCGTTAAAGTATATAAACAATGTTTGGTCTGCGATAAGTTAGTTATTAAACCTACACCTACACCTACACATGTTATTATGTACTGCTGGGCGCTGGTAGTAACGTTTAAATTGAAATCGACTAAATGGAAGACTAAAATATGACTGTTTTAAGTCCACCAAATTAGCGCCAAATGTACTGCAGTGAATATAATAATTATAGATTCAGAGTAACGTTAATGGTTTCAAAAATTACGGTCGGTTCAAATTGTTGGTATGAAGGCAGTCACATCAAAATTTATAATATTATATAATGTACAATAAATTACGACTGATTACTAAAAACTCGGTTTTAGAATAATTTTGCCCAAAAAATAAAATCCATTAATAAAACAATATAGGTATTGTTGATTATTTTCGGCTGGGCTAATGAAGTGATGACTGATTCACTTGATTGCGAACAAATATTGTATGTATGCATTCCCAAATAATATGCAAATTGATTGTTGTTGATTTATTGTTAGAAATAAAAACAATAGGACCGAATGAATTTTTATATAAAACGTTGATCTAATTATTCTCCAAAATAATGAGATAATATGATTTAAATATGGAATTATTTTTATTCAATTCGAATAGATTTCTCGCAAAACGTTAAAAGTCTAATTCATTGGTGCCATCGGTGATGTATGCAAAATTAGGATATAATATTATACTATTTATATATATATTATATATTTAACCACTGGTAAAGATGCATAACACTTGTGGGATGTGTTTTATACTAGAGAACTCTTGGCTGGTTTAAATTAATATAAATTAGTATTTAATAAAATAGTTATCGCGTTTATCTCGTCAACGTGCAAAACGCTACTCAACATTTGATAGCAAAAATATATTGGATATTGAACTGTGCGTTGGAAAAAGCATTGGTTATTAGGTATATCTGTATATGTTAATGGTTTAATCGAATAAATAAATTTGGACACTTTTTAATTGTTGCGCTATCTTGAAGTGAAAAAAAATGCTGTACGTAGTGCTTTTAATTTTTATTATAATTTATAATATTTATATTATTATTGCGAAATTACATTTTTAACGAGTATGTTCATTGTACCTACTATACTAACCGAGAAAGAAATAACATTTTTTAAAAGAACCTTTTATGAGCCAAGTGTATTATTTGCAATGTCATAACGTTTGTCAATATTAGGCTCTTAACGAATGGCATTAAACCATATTATAGAAAAGAAAAAAACTCTAAATAACATAATAATTGTTTAAAATTTACAAGCACCTATCCAACAATAACGATGTAATCGTGTAAAAATATAATTTTCGTTCTCACCCAGTGGGTGGTTATGGCCAAGGGGGTAAAAAAACACGTTATTGATTGAAAAACAACATTGCAACCACTCGTGGCCGACGCGAAGACGTAAATATTGGCTTACGAAACGAATTTGAATTTTCGTTCGAATACCTTTTTTTTCTTATCATGTTGTTATTATTTAGGGCAGCTCCGTGAGCTTATAAGGCAAAACTACCCACCGAATTTCCGTATTGGGGATGTCTAGACAAGAAAGAAAAATATTTATGCAATAACATCACTGTATATTATCATATAATGCCCGAATGCCGTGTCGCTGGAGCTAATTCGAGGTAGCACTTCAGGTCGAAACCGTCATAAAGAGCCTCCCAACTCCCGTAGAAGTAAATTATTAATTTAGGGTTATTAGGTATAGACTTATAATTATAATAGTAGTTTGCGTGTTTTTATCGAAACGGTTGAATAAATTATATCATACGAATTCGTTTCACAACAGAAATCGAGAACTTATACTTATTTTCGGCGTTTTTCACATATATTATTGGACTATGTATTTTCTAACTTGATTTTAACTTTATCGTACGACCTACGTCCTACACGTTTTTCGTTTTGTTTGTATATAGTACCTACATTATAATTTAATTCATGCTTGTGATTCAATAAAGTTTATATTTTTTTGTTCCATAGCTAATGATTAATTATTTTATTATTTTATCTACCATATTCTAAATAGCCAGTGGTTCTCAAACTGTGATGCGTGGATTAGAAATAAAGTAATATTATACTGCCTTACCATTTCGGAATAAATGTTTCGACATTTTGGATAGTTCAATTTGTAGTCATTACTCATTAGTGGTACTTGATGGACGATTGGCACGTGAAAAAAGTTTGAAAAGTTTGAATATAATTTCTAAATTCTTAATATTTACATATTAAGATTGTATTATGCTTGTTTATAATATGAACTTCAGTTTTAATTATTTTCTATTAGATTTTTTTAGATTCTGAGCGGAGGCTGTGGAGCGATGAATGTATTGATTTCTTAATACAATAATTTATGTAAAACAATTGATTTGTTTTATCAAAAAATATACTATTTTTTTATTTTTTTCCCCTTTAATTGATATTATTATTAATAGTAATATCATAATCACCACACATTTGCAATGTATAATAATAATAATAATAATATTATGTTCGTACGATTCTAATATAGCAAACACTAAGTCGTTATACGCGTGCTTGCTAAATTATTTGCCTATACAAAACTCCTCGCCATAATATTAATGTAATAATGTAATAATATTCGTGTCCATGACTGCGGTCGCTCGATCATCATCGTTTATAGATTATAAAAAAATATGTCGACATGTCGTTCACCAAATAGGCATGCTGAGTATAATAAAAGGACGCGTTCTTCCAGTATCTATTCCAGTATCTATAGCTGAAAAGTCTTCTCTGCTGCGTATTTTTATATCCCGTCGTAGGAATTTATTTTGTTTACATTTCAGTGTCCTAATATAATATAACGGACACATCCTCCGTGGCTCGGAAAGTATGAATAGTGAACCTATTCCTAGAAACTGTTATTTTCTAACATTTAATTGATATTTTACATAAAATATTATACACAACACAAGTGACGTACTGACATCTGCCATTTGTATAATGTGTAAGTGGAAAGGGGAAAAAAAGAATAAAAGAACTAAACAGACATTTCTATAATAAAATTCAAAATATTGATATTGACCTACCACTGACCTGGAATGATGCTGGGTAAATTATTACAATATTTAAAATATTATGTCAATTCAATTAAATAATAATTGTATTTGGTTAGGTTAACATAGTTTGTTGTGAAAGTGGAAAAAAAAGGGTTCAACATAATATTATTATAATATCTTCTTTGCCGAAAAAACAGGAATAATTCTAATTTGAATAATTATTATCATCGATTGTGATCCAAAACAGTATCAATGTAATGTATTATATTAACGATATTAGATGATAGTAGGTGAGTTACAATATCAGGGATTTCAGAATATAAATAATCTGTTAAGTTCGGTGTATTTAAAAAAAAAAAAAATAATAATGATTTTGTGATATTATAAAAATGTATTTTACGTTATTAATTATTATTACTTATATTATTGTTGTTATTATTTTATATTGTTGTACTTAATGTTCTTTCATCGTTGTGGTTGACGACAGCGGCGGAGTCAAGGCCCGACATGGAAACAAAACAATACAATACTGTTATATTTACGTAAAATGTTCAAAATGTTCCTTGTTCCACACGTTTCAGTCTAAAAAAATGATTAACAAATAATTTCAATAGAACATCCGTTTTATACACGTATTATACAACCCTTTAACTAATATAACGTCTCGCGTGACATATATTATCAAAGGTTTTGATTGATGAATTATTTTCTACGAAGGATTTTGGGGTTTAAACTTTAAAGTGTTTATATTATCCACTCAAAATTATAATATTTATAAAAGGTATGCAGTAATGCAGTATTGTAGTAAATATGTAGCCCACAATAAACATATTTATATTTCTCAATATTTTAACGTCTGTTTTATCTGTGAAATAATTTAGTGATATTTTTACTCTACAACAAACCGAATTACATTATTATTAGACACAAACACAAGTTATCTCACAACTAGTAAGCGATTACACGACACATATAGACATACAGTTTCTTTTCTAACATATTAAACAATAACAATTATAACGATAACATAATAATAATCATTAGTTCATTACAAGTGTATGGAACAACGACATTCACAATAAATTGTATTTAATTTTGTATGTAATAATGTATAATATTGCAGTAAACGGTGTATTTCCTGCAAGCTGTACACTTGAAATTATATATTGCTACAACATTTTGCATATTCACGCATCGTCCTTCAATAAAACTACTTACGTATTGGGTGATAACTATAAATTACACATCCATCTATGGCCCTTTTTTTCAAATAACAGGTATTTTCGATAATGAAGTATTTAGATGTTTTTTATGCACATACTATAGGTGACAAATCATATACTATTATGTATTTTGTGATAATGATTATTGTATCGTTATCTTTTCCATCATATTTGTTTTTACTGTGCATCTTGATTATTAATATAAAATATCAACCATTTGTAAAATGTGTTAAATTTTTTCTACTCAGACTTTTAAATTTCAATGCGCTATTTCTGAACTAAGAATATGGCAAGAAATAAAATCGTAAATTTCCTTAAAAAGTGATTTTACGTTTATGTAGTCATTCAATATTTAACGTTTATAAATTATAGCACGTGGGTGTCGATCATGTTATAATGTAGTCTCTACCACAACTGTCTATTAAATTCCTTCATGTAAACTGACGTTAGTTATTATATATACTTCTTAATCCGTTCTCGGATAGTGCACTTTACAGTTTTATACTCTTAGCCTTTGTTTAAAGACTCGTAATTCATTTTCACGTGTGTATTTTGGTGGTGAGAACTCTACGCAAAAATACATTATTATTTATACATACACATGCCTATAGGCTAAAATGCCTCAAGCGTTGGCTAAACTTTCAAGGTTTTCAAAAATGAACGAGGAAGATGCCGAAGGCTCAGTGGCAAGGGGAACATTGGTGTATTTTGTAAACGGCCCGTGGGAAATCATCCGATTGAAAAGGTCCGTAAAAACCACTGGTCAGCAATTAAATAAAACTGCACCCCCTCGCGGCACCCGAAAGGACGCACTGCAGAGGCCAATGACGTTGAGTTTTCAGGAAAAAACCATTTTTCCCTTTTTTTTTTATTATATTGTTATTATTATTGTGCCATTGGTCGCTTGCTTTCCTATGGGCTATGAGAGTGGTTAAGTGATTGGAAAATATACGGTCATAGACGATAGACGACGTCACCAACACTTTCAGTATATTATTATATGTTTAGTCTAAAGCCCAAAATTGTTTAATGATCATATTATATCTGGTTATCATATACGCCATACGGTATAGATTAGTTGAACAGTTTGGATAAAGTAAACACTTGAAATTTAAAATATTAATTTTGTACTTAACCATCTATTGTAGGTACACATTACTCATATATGAACATATGGTCATATGGATGGGTGAAACAATTACAATTATAATTGTTGACTAAAATCTGCTGGCCGCAGTGATACTGAGCAATGTTTTAACTGTACGACTGTACTTACTGTACTTACTGTTGTAACAGGAAGACATTAATTTTATATATTTTTGGATATTTTGTACAAGTATTTCAATGAATATTCGCCAGTTAAGAGTATCTAATTATTTAATGTGGAGATCATTAAGAGGTGTGAATTTTAATTACATGGATATATTATATGTTTCATATTTTCATGTATGGTTTTTTTTAATATGTCTTCTGACCGTAATATTTTAACAAATATAGTTTGTCCAAAAAAACAAACATTTCCTTCAAGGACTTGTCAGTCAATGATGTCAATATCAAAAGGCACTCACGAAACGATGGCCCAACTATACCAAAATGTAGACATAAATGTCGATAATATCACAAGTTCTGCTATGCTATAATAATAATAATAATATCAACCTATTTTTGAAAATAATTTTATTGATTATATTATTATTTCGAGATTTTATCTATGCTATTAGACGGCGACTGAAACTATTATAAACACGATAAACAACCGATGATGTTTCATCATTTTGTTAAAATGCTTGTAAACCTATAGTTATTATTATCTATTATCAGATAATTACAGTATTTTAGGACAATTTATTTTTTTATCTATGTTTAACATGCTTTACGTTACTTTTTAGACTTAAAAACAAATTACAAGGTTATACATTTATAATTATGCAGTTAACATATGCTACTTTAGTAGATATTATCAGTATACAAAAAATAAAATTGAAATTATTAAAATGTGTTGATATTAATGTGTTATTCTACAAGTAAATATTTTGAACTAGAATATTGGAAAATAAATATTAAATATATCAACAAGTTTTTCAAGGATTACTCAAATGCTTTAAGGATAATATTTATTTATTTCTTACATCAAAGAAAAAAAGGAAGAAATTATTATATTATGTTATTATATTATTCATGATTCCCATTAGGTACCGAGCAAATAAAGATTTAAAAAAAACCATCATTGTAAAACCAATAGATACATACATTCATTCCTCCTCTCAGAATCTAAAAACATTAAATATTTAGATATTTCATAGTTAAATCTGGTGTAGTTGAATTAAACATATTTATAATTTTTTTTTTTAATTTATCTAAATAATTAAATGTACTGTTCATCGACTGTAAATTAAACCCGATATTATTGTTCAAATACATTGATTAATGATAAAATGTATTGTTTGTTTAATACTGTAAAATTAATCAAACATATAAAAAATAATTAAGCCTGGGTAAATAAAAACCTTGCGGACGATACAGACTTATACAGTATTTTACTATTACACTAACAAGGAATGGTCAACTTTTTTTTTATAAAAAACATTATTTTCAAACAAATTAAAATTATTAGTTCATAATATTAATTTGCAAACTGTAAATCATGGTAAAAAAAATGAACATAGAAGATAAAACAACGAAATTAAAACTCAAATTATTGAAATGAAAATTAATTAATATTTAACAACATTTATTTAATCTACGCACTTACTAATTATTATATTGAAATATTACCATGAAAGTAATTTTTTTTATAATATTTTTAATAATTAAAATATTTTTTCAATGTATTACAATGTATTATGATTCAATTTATGTAATATAGGCAATATAAATAATATTAACACGATCTAACCGTATTAATATGTTGTCATGTTGTGCTCCTATAAAATATGGCAAAGAATTATTTTAATTTTAAATTGAATTAAAAATAACATAACACCATAAGACTAAATCACTTTTAAACTTAAATTTGTTATAACATAATTTTACATCGATTTAACTATATTATTATGTATTTTAAAATAATTTAGTAGGTACCTATTTCATGGTTACTAAATGGTTAAAGAAGAATCTCCTGAAATATGTTCAAACTATAAAATACAATAAACCATTTAGTTATTAACTGAATGGCGTCAATATGAAATAAAAAGAAAATAAATCAATATGCCTGACAAACTACACAAAATTCTGTGGGCTGTGACCACCAATCAAATCAACAAACAAAATAAATACTTTTTTTTTTAAACAAACTTATTTATAATAATTGATGTTCAAAACAATAATTTGTAAAAAATCCAAAAAAATATAAATACTTAAAAAAAGAAATTGTAACTATAGCTAATAACCACTATAGTTTAATCGAAGAAGATAAAAAAAATGTGGTCCCGGTGCCAGTTTTTCAAATTTTCCGTAATTCTATAAAATTTAAAAATTAAATTTTATACTATCAACCTTAATTATAATACTTTTCCACTAATCTTTTACCCGATACCTATTTAGGGGGGCTTATTGGGTATATTATATCACAAAAAAATACTTCACGGGAATAATTATTCGGCCTTGTATAATTGTCAGATTTGAATAACTATTTATTTATCTGAAATAAGAAGACTTTTTACTGGCTACATCGAACTCCAATTTTGTATTTTATTACAAATAATGGTATAATAATATGATTTATTAAAAAACGCTTAAAATTTTATTAATTTTGAAGACATATTAGGTACCTATTAAGTATGAGATTAAATTGTTGAAAAAAAGTGTTGGATGCGGCCTGTAAAATATTACCCTCTATTAGTTAAAAAAAAAGTTATCAAATTTGGTCGATTCTACAGAACAGGATTATTATTCCCGTTAAACGTATTTTTGTGTACAAAATTACATTGGAACCGGGTGCCTGAAATTAATCTGATCCAGTGATGTTTGGAACATCTATAAAAATTACATTTATTTTATTTCCTGGTTAAATTTTCTGGTTAATCGAAGGATTACAAAACACTTTTAGAGCATTTACATTGGCTGAAAGAGTGTATTCCGAAAACAATTATATTATAGTACACACAACATCATAAAATAAAATATAGCTTTTGTTTTACGTCCTTTAGAGTTCAAATTCTAAAAACAACTAAATTCAGTAGTATTTTTAATAATTACAGAGATTTTTGATAGGTAAACCTAAGACTGCACTGGAAATCTATTGTTATAAATATTTTAATATCTCGTTCTTGAAATTTAGTAACGTTTATTAATAAAAAACAGATTATCATAATGTTATTTGTTATTGACAAAAATATTACTTTTTTTTGTTGCTAGTATAATACATTTTTTCTTTAATCGTTGAGTATAATACCTATTTTAATATTACTTCAGATAACGTATACAATCTTATTTTTTTTTAATTCTCTCTAGTCATGTAATATTTAACTGTTGACTCGTGGTAGGTATATTAATTTTTTTTACCTTTTGTTTTGATTTTACCTACCATTTAGAGAAATTAAATTATAAAAATGTGTAGCATAAACATATTAAAAAAATTATATTTTATAACAAAACATAATTTTGTTGTATGTTATTATATTTTAATATATTAGACATATTATTAATAAAATTTCTTAAAAGTTAAAAGAAATAAAAGTAAATAAATATAATAAGTATGAATGCTAAATAGTTTAGATCGTTTAGGATTATTTACTTACTCTATACAATATACATAATATACATTATTTCATGCTTCATTAAAAATAATTTTATGTTACCGGTGCCCAGTAATATTGTTACACTGAAAACCAGTGGCCAATCGAGCAAGGTAACCATTGACCCCAGTAAGTGTCAAAATTAATGTGCTTTTAAAAATTGTATGTAGCCATAATAAAAAAAATATATATTTTTTTAAATTCAGATAATTTAGTTATAGTTATTATTATTAAGTTTATAATATTAAACAGCATAATATAGTGCAAAAATATATATATATTGTGGAAAAATACATATTTTACAAGTTATGCATTATTATTTTTTATTTAAGTAGTTACAATCTTCGTCCATAGTGCATATTTTGAAATGTTTCTATAAGATTCAGAAAAATAATTAACTCTTTGAGGGGCGAAAATTTCCTTTGGAAAAAAGACCCATGTGGGCAATATGTCTCTTTACCATAACATTTAGTACGTATATCAAAATATTGATAATGATAATAAATGATGAAAAACGCGGAATATCATATCAGACCAGCGGCAGTGATATTGTTTGATGCATGTATAAGATGATAATAAGGTGGTTGGTATGCTGCCCACCATCAAAAAAATATTAAAAATAATTTTTAAAGTGGTTAAAATAGTAACCACCGCACCTGAACGGTAAAAAAAAAAGTGGTTAGCATACTAACCACGGCCCCTCAAAGAGTTAATACACAAAAATATTAAATAATTACAGTTATCAGGCATCAGCATTCATATATTTCGCAGCTTGTGTTCCCAAAATGCTTTAAGACTAAAAAGCATCATTCATAGAGTGTATTTCTTATTTAAAATACTCATAAAAAAAAATAATATTCTCCCTGTTGTACACAAAAATATAGCATACAAAGGTATTGTGAAATTATAGAAATATTTCTAGTAGATGGATAAATAAACTATGCAATAGTTGATTTGATAATGCGCATTATGCCATTATATCTGTAAACTTTAAACTAATAACCGTAAATAATAAACAAAATCGGAAATCGTACAACTCGTAAGAAAACGTCGCAATCAACGGGTCCTCCACTCAACAAGCTGCGTTCGATAGATATAATTCGTCTGATGTATTGTACGTAGCTAAAAGTCGGTCGTCAGGCCCACGTGTCCGAAACCCGATGAAAAATATTATTGTATTTTTTTTTAACTGTGGCTCG